TGCGAGCGCACATTGCCGGTTCCTGTCCAGCATTTCATCCTCCAGTGCCCCCAAGTCCCTCTCTGCAGGGAAGAAACATCAGCTTTAACACAGCAAAACTGGGCGTCTGAGCATGGGGAAAAAGTCAATTTTCATGCAAAGCAAGGCAAAAAAAAAGTAAAGAAAGTTCCTTCTAAAAGTGTTCCAGACGTCCAGCAAGAGATATCCCCTGCAGATGGCCTTCCAGACTGACTTACCCGTGCAGGGCGCGGATGACTGTTTTCTCCAGGGCATCGTTGGTGTACCTGCTGTCCAGACTGAAGAGATACTCTGGCTCCCAATGGCACGTCACCTTCATGGACTCACCACAGATGTCCACTGTGTGGGACTTCGCAAAGTCCTCCTTCAGCCTGCGGGAGAGCAGGCTGCTCCTGTGTCTCATTGCCACAGCCTCGAAGGGCCGCTGCAGCTGGGTGCTGTTCTGCTGGTGGCGGAAAGGCAGGACTTTCCCAACCAGGGGTCCTGCTCGGGCGTTCCTGGTCCCGTTTCTAGAAGGTGCTGGTCCGGGGTAGGGGACACCTCTGGGATACATGTGTTTCTTTGAGTGCTCAGGCATCTGCGAGGCATAAGAGTGCTCGGCAGAGATGAAGGAGTGCTTGTTCACTTCGCCAGCTTCTTGAGTCTCTCTTGGAGGCAACGCTTGGGTTTTTGCAAGGCTGGGGCTCACACTGTTCTTCTTGCTATAAATCCCAGGGCTTTTCTCCCTGGGAATAGAGGCCAAGTCATTTAAGTCTATTTTTTCAGTAGGAGGAAGCTTCTGATCTGGCGATGCTTTGCCAGGAGAGGTGGCTCCCTTTGCAAGCTTGTCTACCCTGTGATATTCATGGTCAGAAGCAACACGCAAGGATTTGTGTTTGTGATGACTCTGCTGCTCCTTTGCAGAGTCACTGGAGGGGCTGCAGGACACAGCAATCATCCCGCTGTCCCTGGGGATAAATGAAGGAATACAAGAACCCAGAGCCAGATCAGCCAGCAAGTTCAAGGCGTGGGACTCGTAGTCATTCCCCTTCAGATCGAAACCGAGATCAGCAACCCTGCCTGGGTAAATCTCACTCGTTTGGCTACCCAATCCGTGGCACTGGGAAGAAGCTTTGCTCGGCAGGACAGAGAGTGGTTCCTTCCATTCTGCATGAGAAAAACAAAGTCAGAGGATAAACAAAGGCCACACAGGTCTGTCTTGAGAAGGGGTTCAAAGCAGGCTTTCAGTTTGGCAGGAAGAAAGTCTCTCTCCAACATGGAATTTGCACACTTAAAGAAAAAAAACACCTCCATGCTACAAAAGGATCCAGAGTTGGGATCTAAGCGACTTCCAGAAGGGAGTTCATTCTCAGAAATAAAAGGCACAGGATCCAGAGTGAACAAAATTTCCCTTGGCCTCTGTGCACAGGGCAGTCTGGCCACTTAAATACAACCTGGGATATTTTAGGTGTTTCCTTAATCCTTTTTATTTTGCTTTAAATTTTCTTCTAGTTTGAGTATTTGCAATCTTCACAGACAAACCCTGTGTTATGCTTTCAGTAATCCACAGCTACAAAAAAACCCCTCCCCTCTAAACCACAGAGAAAACCCACCCTGCCCTCATGCTTCCCACTGCACACCCTCTCAAGAGTACAACCTGCTGCTGAGCTGTAGCTCAGAGCACACAGAGAAACCTGGGGGCTCCCAAAAGCAGCTAGAGCACAGCAAAGAAGGGTTTGTTCAGTTTTCAGCATTAAAAATGCCCGTCACCATGGCACAAGGCCCATGTTCATAAAAACAGTATGACATCATTAAACAAGGTTAATGCCTTCTACTAAAAACCAGCACAAAAATCTCTCTTCAAGTAAAACCTTATTAAATCACATCTGTGCTAGAGCTCTATGTGTTACTTTTGATTTCCTTGGGAACTGCATAGTAGGACATGTAAACTGAGTATTTCTTACTGCTAAATACTCTTATTTTGCATTTCTGGCAGGTCCTG